AATTGGATGATCTTTATTTTTATCGTTGGTTAATCTAGATGTCGTATTTATTTTTGTTGATGAGTTGATTCATGCTATCTGTGTCGAATGTTTATGAATTATGAGTGTTTGATTTAGTTTGGCCAGCTAGGTTGAATATCCATGATTTTATTGCTAGATTCGGGACTTTAATCCGTAATTGTTATTGTCTCGTTTCGTTAGTAGTAAACTAGGGGTCGTGCATCTCTAGGGTAGCGTGAACATAAGTTAAATGGTCTGAGCTTTTGCGTCCGTTGCTTAGACTGATCTATTTTCCTAGGAATTGATGATGCTAGTGAATTAAATCTAGAGAGCTAATTCTAGGTTGTCAACTAGTTAGATTTAGTCGAAGAGCTTATTTCGATTAAATATTCGGTAAGGGAAAATTCGGTTAACAGAGCTTGTTGTTAGCTAGGGTTGGTAATCCATTAGCAATCTAGAGAAAGCGTTGAAATTAATTAACGGTAGATTTAGATTGGGTGATAACTGAACCGAAAACTAGACTTCTCTTATTTTATTTTATTTTTATTTTATTTTATTATTTTTATTTTTAGTTTTATAATATCAATCCCTCCTTTTTACTGCTTTCTTAGTTTTAATTCAATTAATACGAAATTGTCACAATTTAGTTTCTACTCCTCGTGGGATCGACCCTTGCTCGCCACTACTACTAGTTAGTAGAGGTTAGTTGAGGAAAAAATTATAAATTTAAATTTGTCGCGTTGCGACGCGCGGTCAATTATCTATAACTAAACTAAGTATGTAAATTGAATTTTGCATGATTTCATGGCCGAGGATGATGCGAACAAAATCCAAAACGATCTGACTTCAGAACAAATTGAGAGGTAGACAAAGGTAAATAACACAAATTGATATGTTTCATTGAAAATTTCTCATTGCTTAATTGTTTTGTCAATGCAACAAAATTCTATCGTAGAGAACATGAGTAGGGAGTACAATATAAAATAAACATATATCATATTATAAACAAGTAATCAAAATCAGAAAATAACTCTAAGTTAGAAAGATTACTTGGATTGGAAATTTCATCATCTAGCATCATGGTATGTGTTATTGGCCGACTTCTGTCATCTCTATTAGTACGGCCACTCATATTTGTGTTATTGTTCTCCTGCTCACGAAATTTGTTGACATGATTGCTTGATGGTTGCTTTCTTTTGGCTGCTTTCCCTTCCATTCAGTAGATTGAATTTATCGCCTCTTGTTCTTGGTGATAGTTGAAATCCAAATCGCAAGTATATTGAACAGTTTTGAAAAAGAACTAAATAAATAGAATGGGACGATATATGATTCTACAATAGAAGAAGAATATATATAGAGTACAATATAGATTACAGATTCTGTTAGATATGGATGAGGTTGAAAGAGTTTGTAAAATAGAAAACTCTTATTTACATTGACTATTATTAAACTAAGATTTTGGCACGTGAACTTTATTTGGAAATAAAAAAAAAATATTCAATGAACACGTTATATTAGTTAAGAGAATATATATAAAATCTGTTTACTCTTTGAATCTATATTGCAAAGGTAATATAAATATGACTGATATTAACTTACAATAATATTAAAGAATGTTTAGTCCACATATGACCGAAATTTTGTTTTATATATTTTTATATATATTATTATTGCTTTAAAAGTGGACTCTTTTATGATTTTGCCTTTATTCTTGCTTTATAAGTCCATAGATGTGAATGTTCTTACTTTATAAGTCCATAGATGTGAATGTTCTTGCTTTATAAGTCAATAGATGTGAATGTTTTATATTTTTTGATGGATGCATGAATGGATGTGAATAGTTATATTTGTTGTATATTCTGCTATAAAAGTGGTTTGTTATTATGTATGTAATAATGATGCTGGTAGTTTAGAGTAATGTCGTGTTAGTAGTTTAAGGTAATGTAAGAAAACGACTTAATTAGAAAAGATCAAAGGAAGATGAGTAATTAAGTAAATAATCATAAAATGCTTTTATTTAGTCTAGCAGTCAGAACCTGCTTTTAATAATAATTGAAAAATAAAACATACTTGCTGCCGTAGGTAAAGTAAACTAATAAATTTAAAGCTTTCTAATAAACCACCAAATAACATAGTACTTAAATAATTTTAGAGTCTCTTCACTCAGATGAATCATGAGCATTTTCCGCTTGCAGAAGAGTACCGTCTTCATAGACCTTTGCCTTGCCTTTATCATGCGTCGTAGACATTAGCATCTTCGGATCTTCAGATTCGAATATGTCGCTCAAGTTGAGCTTTGCCGATGAATCGCCCATCTTTTCAATTTCCTTTGAAATTTTGAGAGGTGTAGAAACCTCATCTTCTTCATCAATCTCATCCTATAAAATATTGTTAATTATTATTATTAAATAAAACACACGTAAATAATTAATATTAATAAGTATTACTTATATTATTTTGAAATTACAATGTAAAAAAAAATGTATTCGATTCCTTGCAACATAATAGCTGCTATCATCTCCTCGAAGCATGGTCAAAAAGTCTGACACCTATAATATTGAACAAAAAATGCTAGCACTATGTTCAGATTATATTAAAAAACATTGAAAATTCGATATATAACCTCTGGTGCAACTATGAGCTGGTTGTACTTGGAAACAACATCTTTGTCATTTACTACCCTACAAACACTAAATGAAAAAATGTCCGAGTAGCGTTGCTGTTGAATACGAACTTTAAACAGAACAGCCTGTCCAGTTAATCTCCTTATTTCTTCAGGCAACTTATAAGTTGCGGCATTCTAGAAAAAGAAAATATGAAACAATTAATTAAAAGCGACATATAAATTTGTTACAGAAATAATAAGTAAAGAATAAGAACCTTGCGCATGAATTCAGTTCTTAAAGAATGACATGTTTTTCCAATGAGAATCTCAGACTCTTTGTCCTAACAGATAATATCTGCATTAGCTGTTGAATCCGAGATGCTCAAATTCATCTTGTATCTATTAATTAGGAAAAAATAGTTAGAAAAAAAAAAATCAAACTTAATATGAATTTTGAAAAATATAAAAATACCTGAACTTCCCGACTTCTTTTGAGCATTTGCTACACTTGAAACCAGTGTCCGAATTAAGCATTTTGCTGCTGCAACTACGGCAAGCGAAATACCACCAATCGTCAACAACAGAGGCAATCGAAGCACATATCGATATGCTTTTACCCTAAAGGAAAAATTCATTCAAGAAAAAATAGTTATAATTTTGCAATATAAATTATTACCGAATTAAAAATTAAAAGTGTTAATTAAAATTCGAAATTAAAATATATATACCTCTTTATTTTTGAACAAAGATTCCACAGAAGAAACTGGAATATCACCAGATTGCAATTCCTCCAATTCAGTCTTAATAATAGTTTTTGACTTTGAATTGTATTTTGTCCTATTCAAATTGCTCACAGTGTACTTACAAATATAAATGTATTTTTAACATATATATGATATAAATAAAGAAATAAAATTAATAAATTTGATATAGGTGTAATTTAATTTAACATTCTCCAAAAGTCATGGATCTCCTCCACTGGATCGTGTGCAATTAGCTTAGTCACGTTAGAAGAAGTAGTAACTTGAACTTTTTCTACAAAAGCAATATAAGATGTTAGATGGGGGCTCGTAGGTATTGAAAGTGAAAACAAAAAAATTATTGAAGGTGCTTACTAAGGTATTCTTTTTCACGTGCTTGCTGCATGATGAGAACCCATGGTTCTCCAGTATGTTCATAGTGGCTCTCAAAAGCCAACAGTTGTCAACATAGTCGCCCCATACTGTGCAGTTTATAAAATTTTCACTACATTTAAAAAATAAAACATTTAATAAGAGCGATTTCAAAAATATCTACACATTTCAATTTTATATGGAATTTATTTTAGTCAAGTAAACTTACTTTAAGTCCATGAGGATAAAGACAACCATTTGTGTATCACCAGATTTGACCTGCTTGTCTTGTACACTTTGGATATCAACAACTAATCCAATGACGTCTACAAAAAAATAAAATGGTTGTTATTCTACATTTATAAATTTATAAATTTATAAATAATTAGTAAATCAAATACGTAAAATAATATTCACAATAGTATAAAGTAAAATTACCGAATAGAATTGACTCGTCTATTTGTTGACGTCTTGCAAAGTTGCAAAGTCTCTGAATAAAAATCGAAACATAGGAAAAGACAAAGAGTCTTTGCATTTCATAAATATAGTGCCCCCATGTAGCATTATCTTAAACTCGCCAGTCGCAGATCTATACATACCAAGGTTGATATCAACTTGGTCGTTTCGTATAAGAATGACCATGCCCTCTTCAATGGACTTCTCTTTGAAACCCGGCAAGTAGACTACTCTTAGAAATGCTGTAATGCGTTTTCCCTTCACAAATAAATTGAAACGGAAAATTTAAAAGTAATCTATATGATGTGTAAATAACAAATAGTGAAAAATGAAATCGATTTGAAATGCATACCGTTTTATCTTGCAAAATAAGCTCGAGATGCGACTTGAATGTGCTGCCCTTATCTTGATAAAACATCCTCACAATGCAGACTTTAAGCATTGGTCTTTTGCTCTTATTAAGTATAGATTATTTGAAGTAAAAATATAAAACCCAAAATACAACGACTGGCAAAAGATTTTTCTTTTCAGATCCCGCCCAAAAGTCACCCGAAAGCCCGCTTCCTATTTAATTGAACGCAACTTTAATGGCTCCTTTTTCACATTTTTTCAACTCCCCCTTATAATTAATATACAGATTTTTCACGCTTCAATCAAATTCGAATATTCGATTGCAAAACCTAACCCTAAACCAGGGCTGCTTGTTGCCGTTTAAGGTGAGGTTATAGCTTTTTTATGCTCGATTCGCCGTATTTTTCCATTTCGTGGTTTCTCGACGTTTCTCAGAATCCTTTTTTATTTTTCTATTTTTTTCGAAGTGCTTCACCATGAAAGGAGGTAGCTCGAAAGCTGATTCGAGGAAGGCCGACAGCAGGTAAGAGATGTTTCCGTTGAGACTTTATTTGGTGTAATGTTGCAATTCATTTCTCTCTATCTCTCTCTGTGTATGTGCGGTTGTAACCTCTCTCTCTCTCTCTCTCTCTCCCTTTCTCTCTCTATCCGATGGTCGTGTATCTGCTGTAAATGTAAGCTGGCTGTGATTTCTGAGATGTACTCTGTGTTGCTGAATTTCGTCAGTCATTTAGTTAGCTTTAGTTTGGTGAATTTGTTTGTCGTAGTTTTAGGTTTATTTGGTTAATTAATGCGTCAAACAACCTATTTACATATTTAGATGCTGGATTGTTGTTTTCTAGTTCTGTTCTCTTTCTATTATATTGTTTTTCTAGTCTATTATTTTTCCTTGTAATGTAAAATTAGCTCTAGGTATCGTTTTCCTGGTGGCTCTGAGAACAAGTCAACAATTACTGCAAGTAGTTCGAGATATGAGTTTCTATTGAGCTAGATGTTGATCTGTGACTTTTGTGATCTCTTGTGGCATTTGGTTTTAGATTTGGTTGTCTTAACTTCACGTTTAATGTTTGATTAATCTTTTGTTGTAATACGTATGCCAACAGAAGTCGACATAACAAACACTATAATGTTTTTTGTTTATACTTGTTGTCCTGGCTCTTTCTAGATCTATATGTTTTTTCTCAAAGCTACATAATTGCACTGACAACTAAAAGCTGCTGCTGTGATCAAAATGAACTTACTGCCTGATAGTTGTTTTAAGAACTGATTAACCTTCTTTTTTTTTTGTTAATTTTGTTCTTTCTGTCTCTATTTTCATTCAACTTCTTATTCCGCTCACTAGTTTTGTTGTATACTTGTAATTAATATTAGGTTGGCTGTGAAGAAGCAGACAAAGAAAGAGAAGAAAGCAGCAAAGGACCCAAACAAGCCAAAGAGGGCTCCAAGCGCATTCTTTGTTTTCTTGTATGTAAATTGCATGACTGTATACTGGCTTCCTAACCTTTTGTTGGTACCATTCTTTTATTACTTGGTCAAGACCAAGTGCTGTAATTCGTTTGTGTTCTGATATGCTTGCCGGTCATATTCATGTTACAGGGAAGGTTTTAGGCAGCAATACAAGGAAAAACACCCGACCAACAAATCAGTTTCTGCTGTGGGTGCACTTTCTTATGACATCCTTATTCTCGAACCAATATTGTTTAAATCTGTACTTTTTGACACCATTGATGGGGCAAAATGTAGGTCGGTAAAGCTGCTGGTGAGAAGTGGAAGTCTATGAGTGACGAGGTAAATACACCTAGTTATCTGGCGACATGTGTTAATAGTTTTCCCCTTTCCCTATTTTAAACCTATAAACTTTTAAATATTAGGATAAGGCTCCATTTGTGGCAAAGGCAATGAAGAAGAAGGAGGAATATGAACAGAAGATGGAAGCCTACAACAAAAAATTGGTAATTAAGTTTTATTGTTAAGTCTTCAATTTGTCCTTAGCTTTAGTTGTTGTTCTTTAAATAATGTGCGTGTGTAACTTGCTGATATGGTCTTTACTGCATTGTAATGTACTCATATAGGCTGGAGGCAGTGGTGATGATGAATCTGACAAATCAAAGTCAGAGGTTCATGATGAGGATGATGAAGAAGGCAGTGGAGAGGTGAGTCATGTACATGGACTTTTTATTTGGTTATACGAATGAGACTTTGCAAATCATGTTGAGAATTATTTTTTTCTGCTCAATTTGATATGCAGGAGGAAGAAGATGATGACTAGGAGCTGCCAAGGATGACGAGATCCCCTTAACAGGATTTTAATGTGTTCCTGCACTATAATGTTGATTTCCTGACTTTTAACTTTGTTGGTATATGTTGACATGGATATGACTTCACCTTGCCTAGTTTGTCTACAGACATGAATTTTAGTAGTTTTACAATTTGGGATTAGCGATGTTGGTTCTGTTTACCTTCTTAGACCTCGGAAATTTATGTAGTACCGAATGAAAGGCTTTTTATTTCTGATTCTGCTGTGGTGTTTCCGTGTTTGAATTATTTTTCAGTTTCTTTCTGTTTGGTTTTGGTTTTAATTGTGTTGATGGTGGTGAGGATTTACCCAAATATGAGAAAGCTTTTCAGTTATTTGTCCATTTTGATATGAAAGTGTTAAATTGGGTCAACAGATTGGTATCGTACTATTGTTCAAGAAAATTGAAGCCTTGAAATATATGTTTTTGCAGTTCATAACTGGCTGATATGGCTGGCTGATTGCATTAACATCGTCATTGTGTTTCATACTGATTTTTCTCTGGTACTTCAAGCTGCTTTATATAATGATTTCCTTTGATGTGCTGAAGATTCTAACCTGGACCTTGCCTGTGAATATCTATGCACCCTATATAATATATTTTTCTTTTCTGATGTCAGGCTACAAAAATATTTCATTTTCATTAAATAAATTGTCCATATAACAGTTGCACAGAAATGAATCTCAGAATCTTCCAATCTCCATTCTTTTTGAAATTTTTAACATGTGGCTGAGAACTCTTTATTTTTCCGTTATGTGTGAAACGTGAAATATCAAATATGTTTGAACAGTACAACTTATATAGTCTTTTTCTTCTTCCTTTCTGTAGCTGCAAAATCACAGTTTCTCAATATGGTAATCCAAGGTATGGTCTTTCCACTGGCCGCCCTCGAGATATGCCTCGTAAAAGCTAGCTTCACCACATGCTTTCACGGTCAAGACTGCCGTGCTTCTAGTCCCGTACTTTCCCTGTCCAATGATCAAATAAACAAATCACAAAAAACCGTAACCAATGTGTAAAAAATCAACCATCGATGATCAAGAAGAAGGTTACCAGTGGCGTCTCGACTTCAACAAAGATGGAGCTCAACCCAAGTTCCCAGTCGAGCGAACATATGTTCGGTAACTTTCCTTTATCAGCTTTCAAAGTGTCCCTCATCAACTTCCCGACCATTTTGGTCAACGGAATCTCCCCTTGGCCGTACTGGTCAACTTCCTCCTTGAACTTCTGTTCGAGCCGCTCCGCCTGAGAATTATATTTTTATTTTTTTTAGTACAAAACGAAAGTAAAATCGGAAAATAAAAAAATAAAAAAATTGTTGTTTGATTACCTTGGGCCAAGGAGAGTTGAGAGTCGCGTTTGAAAGGACATGAATGCCCTGACGAACTTCCTGGATTGAAACGGGCTCGCCTTTGGGCCGGTTGGACACATAAACCATGGATTTCGAGACGAGATCCGCTACTATGAGGTTGAACCCATTGTACTGATTCGCCTCTTTCGCCAGCTCGTCCGCAAACTCCCTCGGGCTCTTATTGCTCTGCCACCAAATCCACATTAACAAAAGTAAGATCTTTCTTGAAAGGAGAACGAATTGCATGAGAACGAAATCGAAAACGATATATATAAAAAATGTCGAACCTTGAGGAAACGAATGGGGAGGTCTCCTCTACTTTTAGCCTCAGGGAGAGTATGGTGTTCCAGCACATTTGTAAGAAAAGCCACTCGGCCATGTCGGGAAGCGGCCAGCCATGTGCCGCCAGCCACCTCATCTTTGCCGCCTAGAATCTGGTCGTCATCCCACCATCCGGCCGCCTTTGTCGGCCTAAAACATGGATACAAAATATAGTTGATTCATTATTTTCCTTTTGAGAATTTTTCCCACTGTTTTTTCAAGATTTGTGTGAGATTAACTGACTTGCCTGTTGTGGTATTCATCTCTGTTGAGCAAGAGAAGAAAAGGGTACAGAGGGTGGGATTCCCACATAAACACAGCAATGCACATTTTTTTTTAATTTTTTTTTTTTTCAAATATTGTGAAAAGTATGCAAGAATTTTGCTCACTTGATCTATATATTCTGATAAAAAAAAGAAGCAACAGCTGCTTCTATTATTCTTCTATATTTTGAATATTGTAGGCGAGCTTATCTTATTGTCTATATATGTATAGGCCATAATACGTTAGTTGATGGTAACTTAACTCGGAGGTTGCTGATAAGGACATGGTTTTATGACACTTGCTTGGCCTCCTTTTTTGTTACTTGTTGTTAGTAAGAAGGAAAAAAAATAATAAACTAAAAGTGTTTTTGTTGTGTTATTATTTATTTATTATTTTGTTTCTCGGGGTTTCATCGGTGGCGGTTAGTATTGAGACAAGAAAAATTTATTATTTTTAGTGCGGAAATATGGATCTATTTGTAGTGTGGAAACTTCATTTTGTTGTATAGTCAATAAATGGGTAAATTGCTGTGTTATCTTATGACAATTTTTATCTTCAAAATTCAAACAAGGGAAAATGTAAAATTTTCAAAACTACCACCGATTGTGGCTTAAGTTGCAACAAAATATTACCACCAAAGTGCCACTTAAGGCTCAAGTCCGATTTTAGTCGTTGGGCTCGATATTAGAAGTTTTTAAGTAATTTTTTGAGCTGTAAACTTTTCTCAAATTTTTTTACATTATTACAATTAAATTTGCTCTTCATAGACAAACTAGTAGGGCATTGAGAAAAAGAATTTAAGGAGGGATATCTATTTTTTCTCATTATGAAGGCCAATGACTGACCCAAAGTCTTGACTTGAGGGCAGTTGCCGCTTTCCTTCCTGCTAACAGAGAGCACCGTTCGCCCCACACTGAAGAAAGAGTACAACAGAAGATGAATGCAAGAGATAGAAAGGCATGCTGACCGTTTTCAGCTGTTGTTCCCCTCCCAAGGGCAGGTTCTTACACGTTACTCATCCCTTTCATAGCATCTTCTAATTCGAAACTTAATTTGAAAGCTTTTGCACAAAGATTTTATCTGAGTGCTCGCGGAAAAAAAGCTCAACACCAATAAACCCATGAGAGATTATTTGTAAAAGAGCCCCATTTAAGGACTCCAATGCAATAGATTGCTGAATAGCTCTTGCTAAGACTAAGCTTTGTCACACAAAAGGTTTCAATCCGGACCATGCATCTGGAAAGCGCCGGTTCGATTCAACTCGTTGATATTAATAGACAAGACGGGCTTAAACTCGGCTCGTTTAGCTAACAAGTTGAGCTCGACAAGACTCGAATTGAGCTCGAATATCAGGAGTTCTAGCTTGGCTCGACTCGTTTACAACAATAACTATGTTTCAAACAATCATTTTTCGTTGTTTTAAAGTAAAATATTTATCATTAAAATTGTAGTTTTTGTTCAATAAGTATGAATATTTTATTATAAACCGACAATATACTTGCTAAAAAAATGGATTGTGCTGTGATAAGTGCAAATTTGTCATATATATATATATATATATATATAAAATACAATTCTGATACAACTTATATCTTTTATTTAGTAGACCAACTTGCTAAGTTATAATTATGAGCCATCCACCACTTACTGTATTGACACCTGTTTAAATTGTATTTATTGCAAGACATGTGTCAATACACTATTGGTGAATAAATGTGGATGACTCCATAAATCGAGAAATTCAATGGCTCCATAAATCGAGTCATCCAATGACTTCATAGCAAAACTGATTTCTCATATAGCGTTTGATTTGTACTTATGCTTTAATGTTGGAGGCTAACTGGTGGTTAGTGGTTCGTGCCCACGGACTTTTAAGTCAAAAGAAAATAAAAATAAGCCAACAGATTTATTTGTTTGAAGCTTAAGTGTATTTCCATTGACCTATTTAACTGATTTGATTAATGGGTTTATTAGCCAATGAGTTTCAATTACTAAATTCATGTGAGAAGTTATCTAAAATACAGGGTGGTTGTCAGGAAACGAAATGCATCTATGACACGATTAAATATACAATTGTAAAGATAAATGACACAATGAAAAACAATGTTACATGCTCGATAATTTGGATGATCTCATTTATTCTGCCAAAAAATTGTTGTAGGCACTTAAATTACAACTACTTATCCGGTTATCTAGATCTACAAATTTTCACTCGATTTCAATAGACAATATGTTCTTTTCAAGACCTTGATTTTAAATATTAACCCATAATCCTTTAAGGCTAAGTTTGGATTGAAGGCTGAGTGATTTGAAATTCAGTTGGAGAATCTATTACTATATAATACGGAGAAGAAAAATTATTTGAACAATCCGAAAAAAATCATTTCGTTTTCCCGCTTCAATATAATGTTTTTCCCGCTTCTTCAATTCGTAAATTTTTTTTTTGAATTTTTTCAGCCCATGCAATTAGATAACCAATAAAATCGAATCTTTTAGTATTCAATTTGGTAAGGTGTTCCAATTTTAGCATTCAAATCCGATTTCACTTCCTTTTGTTTTATGCCAATCAATCCGATTTTTTTTGTTGTTTCAAAATTTGTTTAGATTTATATTTTTATTTATTAATATATTTGAAAGAGAATCAATAAATGTTTATCATAACTTTTATTTTAAAAATAAATTTGAATAAGCATACCTTTTACTTTATATGAAATTCAAAATTACATATTTTAATATATTAATAAACGTTTATTATTTATTTTTTCCTTATGTGATATAGTAGAATTTCGGTATTAAATTTGTAAATTCAAACATTTAAAGGAAAAGATTCCAAACAATTTTTTTGGGTAAATTTTATTTTATCTTGGTTTTCATTATCACATTTCTAACAAACTAATTAGTATTATATTTTTTTATCTACATTATCTAACCGATTTTTTATGATACAATTAAATAATATCTTAACAAATTAATCATTTGTCTAACCGAATTTATCTCTCTAACAAACTTGCCAATTTTTTTAAAATTAACATGGTATGATTATTCTTATGGAGATACTTATCAATATATTAAATATTTAGAAACTTTTTTTAAAAAATGAGTTATCCCTCCTTTTACTTTATTTGAAATTCTGACGTATATTTTTATATATATTATTTTTTATTTTTTTACATGTAAATATTTATTATTTAATATCTAAGTGATAAATATTATTGATTTATCTCCTTAATAAATATTTATTATTTATTTTTTTTCCTTACGTGATATAATGTAAATTTGGTTATTAGATTTTTAAATTCAAACATTTAAAGGAAAAGACCACGAACAAATTTTTTGGTTACATTTCATTTTATTTTAACTTCCATATAATCACAATCCTAACAAACTAATTAGTATAATATTTTTTTACCCATCGGATTTCTTAAATATAATTAATATAACATTTTAACTATTTAATCATTTGTATAACTTGATTTAACTCATTATCAAACTTGCCAAATTTTTTTTTGAAATTAAAAAAAAATTGGAAGATTTTTATTTGTAAAATAATAAAAAATAGCTTTACTTTAAAGTCTGGATTATTTTCATTATTTTTTGTACGTTAACAATCATTGGATTATTGATTTAAAAAAACAAATCAAAACCGTAAGGTTTAATAATATTCCTTAAATAAAAAATATTGTATAAAGAAAAGTATTTAATAATATATATTTTTCATTGATTGTATTTATTTTATTTTCATAATAGACGAGATGTAAAAAATATAAATAATTATATTTAAAATAAAGTCTAAAAAATGTTTAAAATATGAACTCTTCCGTGCATCGCACGGGATATACACTAGTTTCAAATTCATTCTAGATGTTTTTTAGTCATTATTTTGAAGGATTTGAAATGATTCCCCAAACTTAGT